CTTTGTTGTGTCTAGCCAACTGTGTCGATACATCATGATACTTTTTGTCCCCAGGTCACTTTTACTCGAACACGTCTTTCACGCAAGCCTTCGAGAATCGAGGTTTTGTTCGTCCAGACCGGAATTCCGTCGCGCGTATTTCGCACCTTGACGTTATTTTTAACTGTTACGTCCGGCGTGCACGTTTTAGGCGAGTTGACCGTCTCTCGAACGCAGAGAGTCGCGCACGCTGGCGTGTTGCTACATTAGTGATAAAACGTCGGATCGGGTGGAAGCGACATCGATTGCGGCGGGCAATCTTTTTCGAGACGCCGAAACTGGGGCGAGTATCGGAATTTTAATTTATCGGATTTTTAATCGCCGGTTGCCGAACACACAGAAATTTAGTTTACGCTTTCGGAAGAGACGATCGCGCGCGAAGGTGGAATCCTCGTCGCGTGAGAAAAAACGCGCGTTAATGGGAGAACGTTTTTATACGATCCGTTCCTCGATTGGTCGACAAAAATCATTTTCTTTTTGTGCGAAGACAATTTGTTCTTGATATTGTATTGTGACGTTAAAATTGATGGCTGGAATATACGTATGAATGCGCCAATAAACGATGAGGGCGTTTTCTGAGCCACAGTTGCTCAATGACAACTGAGCTACTGATCTGGCCGCGATCTTTTGGTTACTCCCTCGGCCGGTGACCGATGCAAATTGTCATTAATCATCGGCGCTGATGGGTCGAGACATTAATATCCAGAACACCGGGGATGTCCCTATTATGCGCTGGGTCTTTGGAGAGGACGTGTGCTCATTATGTACAATAGCAACTTATTCACGGCAACCACCATTGCCCATCTGTGTAATTAAGTAATTGAATTAAATATTTATTTTCCATGACCTCGCAACTCTCGGTGCGTGCGAGAGATTTTGCGGCAAAAATCTGTTTTCCGTGTAATTCAGTTTTTGTTAATAGCTCGCGACACACATTTCCATGACGCCAAAAAATAAACTGGTATTTTTCTTGACGTAATTTATAAAAATTGCAAAAACTCTTAAAAAACACATTCGGTATAAAAAAGACTCGTAATTTAAATGAATGTAATATAAATTTTATTCGCAGAATAATTCTATTCATTCGCACACACACACACACACATAACGTTTCTCGAGTCTGCGAATTAGACCAATCAGCGAAGTCGTTACTTTTCAACTAAGTCCACGCTACTTAGCTGAGATTATTATATCGCTACTTCGTCTTCATTAACGCGACTGCTAATTGCCTGACCAATAGCGCCGGCGACTCCGGTTCACTCGCTTGACATCTAGAATCTCTGAAACGTGTTCGCGAGCGACGACGACGGTGTGTTTAACGAAGGCAAGATCGTTAATACACATGGCGAAGTTTATTTCCTTTTTCTTATCGCTTGACTGATAATGACCTCCCTCTCGAAACGAAATCCTTCCTTTGCTGTTCTACGCGGACATAATGAGCGTGTGTAAATTACACAAATCCGATACTCAACGCATCAGCCAACTTCCTTCATTACACGCTATCGCAAATTGTTTGGAAAATTTTCCGCTTTGTTGTTTATTCGCTTTGTTGCAGATATCGGAGAAATTTTTTTGCTCATCGAACTCGAGCTTATTTAACAAAATTAAAGCGAGCGCGAAAAACGCACCATGCAAAGATTGAACTTCTGCGAAATTCTGCTGTCGTCTTTTTTCGCGGTTTTTCGCGCTGTGAGCTCGGAACGATCTATTATTTACGTGCTAACGATCGCTTAAATGCGCGGTCTCGACTCTTCCACCCGGCACGCTTTTGTGGCACTCTTACCGGGCACCGTTGCGAGACGCTTTTGTGAAAGGGAAAAAATGTGTGATACCTGCACGAGGTCCGTTGATCCCCGCGCGGCAGTTCGTTGAACTCCGCCACGCCGCGCTATCATCTTGACTTCGCGCCACGACGAACCGTGACGATTTCAAAATTTGTATTATTTCGAATCGCTTAAGCGATTTCGCGCGTATCTTATTCGTCGCTTGTTCGACTCTTGTCTGACAATTTCCTACTCGCGTCGATTCCTGCGGTTTTCTCAAGGATCAGACGAGCATCTCGTTTCGTTGTGGAAACCTCCTCGAGTTCTTCCTTCGCAGACGAGTGCCAATTTCCGCTTTTGTTTTGCGAAAAACTAGCGCGGTCGCGCTCGAACGCATTCTACGTGGCTACGTGGCGATCCGTTAGTTTGGCGCATGGCGCGGCTATAGTTAGCTTGATGCACCGCCAGAAATTGCAGAGCGGGCGCACAGCCATTACGCTTATTGCGGCCGACGTACTCTTTCTCTCGTCAAAAGAGACTCTCTCGACCGATAGATACTTGCGAAGCTCTCCGCGATCTCTCAGAGGGATCTATTGTTACTTATACGGTACGGAAGTATTCCGTTTTCTTCATTTCGAAGCGATTTTCTTCAAGCAACCACGCGATGCGCGATGTAACGTAACGCCGCTGCCGCACCGCGATAAGGTTCTACGGTGGTGCTACGTGAGCGCGATCGCGCTGTTACTCGGTTAATGACCCAAGTCGAGCTGTCCGCTAAATTATTCCCCGCCCCCGCTCGTTTCCAGCCGGTTTGCGTGCGGAATTATTATGTGACGTTTGTTTCGCTTTGAGAGAACTTCTCTTTGTCGTGATGTTGCTCCGAGCCGACGACGATCTCTCGCGATCTCAACCTGTCCCTTGCATGTATGTGCATCGCGAAATGTAAGGGAGAAAATTATTTCGGACTATAAATAGAACGATATATACGGAGAGTGTTTTATTTTTTTTTAAACTTTGGGGGAACAAGGAAGAGCCGGACGTTATAAATTGCCGCATTGTGTGCGAGAGTTGATAGCGTGTTGCTGCGATTTTTTTTTTTCCTCTTCGTCGTGCGGTCTCCGCGTTCTATGTTTAGCACGACGACTCCTTTCACGCTCCCTAAGGGAAATCTCCTCCCGGAAGCCCTTGAGGCGCATCTTTCTGCTCAGAGACGACACGTGAAGCGAGTACACTTGCGTGGGAGACAGAGAGAGAGAGAGAGAGAGAGTACGAGAACGGGTGTTCTCTTTAGGTCCGGGAAGAAAACCGCAGCCGTGTGATCGCCGAGACGCCGGCGGAGTCATGTTTAGCAACTCTAGACGTGTCGGTCGTCGCGATCGAAAACCAAACCGTTTGTCTCTCCGCGAAAAGTCGTAAAGAAACGTTGCTTTTGCTCGTAAAATTCAGAGATCTTTGATGTCGTGTTTTTCTATATAAGTTTTTTTAATAATTATATAAGTTTGCATGTTTTTAAAAAGTATACAAATCGTACAGATCATACACGACTTATTTTTTCAATAATTATAGCACAATAAGTAATTAAGTATAGTAATATTAATTAATCAACATAAAGTACAATACTTAATTAATATTTATAATTATTTGTAAAGAAGATAATCGAATTTCGATGCGTTACCACGTTTTAAAGCGAATGTTGAAAATGGAACGGAAAACTGTAGTTAATTACGTCGCAACGAGGCGTGTGTACTTATTCTAAAATGAAGTTGTCATTTTTGTCACGTAATTGACGTGCAATTGACGTCTTTAAAAGCGCTTCGGGTACTTTCGGGCGCGCACGCAACATTTGTTAAGTGCATCGCACGTCTGAATTCGAAGGAGCTTGTTTTTATTTTTTTTTTTTTTTTTTTTTTTTATGCAACGAGAAAGTATCTTAAGTGTATTTGTTCACCCGCTCTCTCTCTCTCTCTCTCTCTCTCTCTCTCGCCGAAGACGTTTCGAGCGATAAACTTTGCTACTTACTTGCCGACTAAGTGCTTCACTCGAAGTTATCGGGACATCAGTAAAGAAACTTGCGCACGTTCGCGTTTCGTTTGTATTGTGTGCATTTCGATTACTTTCGATTTCTCGACGCGTGTCGTCGTTTGTCCGAATGTAGGTTTCCACTTAATACGTACCTTTTACGGAAAAAGCACGCGCCGATTCGCATCGTCGATACGTGCGCTGCAAATGAAAACAATTACCTTTAATTTTTTTTACGGTCGCTACGCACGTGTAGAAAGTAAGCGCGGTTCTGAGAAATTTTTCAATTAAAGACCGAACGAATGTAGCGAATCAAACGCGAAGAAAAAAAGAGAGAATTATTTTAATAAAAATAATAAGTTTTGCACTAATGTAATAGGTCTGTTTTATACACGTATACATATGTACGTACGTATGTGCGCGTCCTTCGTGTGCAATTTTTTTCACACGTATTTGCGGAGCTACGGATTCCTCTTGTTCTGCGTTGCACAATGCCTGCGATATTTGATGAGATGAGGACTTTCCTCCAGGTTTCATTTTTCTGACAAAATTTTTGCAGTCGTAAAGAACGGTATTTTCTCTCGCGCGAATTGCGCACGCGAGTTATTATATTGGCCGAAAGGCAATGGGGGGGAAAGCGTTGTAAATGAGCGTAAGAGCGCAGCGACTATCGATTTAACGCCGTAGACCCCGTGTTTCAAGCGCATGACGATAAAACGTTGCGTCTCTCGGCACAAAACCACCCACAGCCAGCACGCGCGCGCTATAGCAGTTTTCACCGTTACATCTCCCACCGCACACGCTCGGTACTATATACAAACGTCGTATCGTTTCTGCACGCAATATTTTATATATACAACACACAGTCGCAAAAGCAAGTCTCGACAAATGTACCGTACATTTGCGTATAGTTAATTAAGGCTGTGAAACACAAGGCTGTGGCGCACGTCTGTTTTCTTTCGTTTGAAAAATGTTTTCAACTCAAATTGCGCGCGAGTTCGAGATTATGCAAGAGAGCACGCAAAGATTAATTATACAAATTACGTTTTGACAAAATGTTTCCATTGAAATGAAGAGAATAATTAGCACTTCTGTCAGAAGAAAAATGCGTGTATTGTTTTTTTTTTTTTTTTTTTTTTTTTTAAATTTTATTTTCAAGATTTTTAATCAAGTCTTTACATGCACTCATCTCTTCCGTATTTTATCGCAAAGCTCGTGTACTTTTACAATTATATGGATGCGGCGCTCGTGTTATGCTCGCGCAATTTTTATTTCAGAAGTCTGGCAAATGTAGCAAATTTACGCGTTGAGACTTCAACGAATCTGACACGTGTGTATTATCGTATGGAACGTGCGGTTGCCCCAAGTCCATTGACTCGGCTCGATCTCGACTTGGCTTTCATCCCGCGCAGATCATCGGTCAGACTGAGACATCTCGGTTATTACCGCAGGGTATTCTCGAAACAACATCCCGGAAGTTCTTCCCACTGTCGCGGTTAGGTAATTTAGCCGAGATCATTTTTCCTCTCTATACGCAAACAACATGAAAACAAAGTTTGTCCAAGTGTTTGTGGGGAAATCTCCGAAAAGTTGAATTCGGCAGACGTACCTTTTTCCCGCAGGATTAACGGGAACGCAATCCGACGCGTGGTGACACCCTGTAGAGAGCCGGTAGTTATAGGTCGTGGCGGGGCGTTTGCTCTGGACACATATGTATATGTTCACTCGGTGGTATCCCGAACGAGAGGGATATCGAATATGCGGGGAAGGAACGGGGGTGTCGCCAGCCCAAGGGGTGGCGGTGACACACGGAACAGACGGAGAAAGATCTGGATTTCTGTCGTGTCGTCACAGACTGCTCGGCGCCCCACGCTCTAGATCCACAGTTAATTACCAGCTCGCTGTGTGATCTGGAAATAAGCCGGCCACCATGATCCACTTAGACTCCCAGGTATTAACGTCGATTACATTAAGGTTGATTGACTCGGTCGAGCGGGAATGAAAATAAAACACGGCGGAGAGTACGCTCAGGATATTAGACGTAATATATATGCGATACTAATAAAAAAAAAAAAATAAACGTACTACTTATTAAATTAATTAATTAATTAAAGCGACCACACTCTTAATTAGGATTGTGAGAAAGTCGCGACGTGTCGCGCGTTTCTCTTTGATTCGATACAATCGTTAAACGCGATCTTTTCTTTCCGTAAAAATACCTCAGAACCTATAGCTTCACACGTGTGGGAGAATTTTTTTTTTTAAGCGCGATATTTATATATTGCAAAAAATTAGAATGAAGATAAAATCACGACGACATTAGGTCGTTCGCAGGAATACTTTTATGCGCACTTGGAGGTACTGCGGTGTCCTTGCGTTCACGCGAACGAATTAATTTATCTGCCATCGCGCGGAAATTACGCCACGATCGCTCGATAGCGACGATGATAAGTCGCTGCGGCGACTTCTGTCCTTTTCGTTGTGTCCTGAAGTTGCACGCGAGGCCTCGTTAAGGCCTGTTTACACAAAACGCAGATGCGCGTCGGCATCAGATAGCCGGTCTCGCGAAATAGACTAATCACATTGGCGAACCGATCCACGATGATTGGTCACTTTCGCGACCCGCGACCCGCGTTTGCGTCTTGTAGTGTGTAGATAGGGACCTTAAGAGTCGCGTTTCTTCCACGTTTCTTCACGAACACGCACATAGTTGCGCAAAAAGGAGCAGAATTCTTTGCGAGCTGGAATATCGTTTTCTGCGTTCCCATTCGGGCGACGTTGATTGCACCGAGAAGAAAATAAAAAAGACAGTCGGATTAACGGCGACACAAAGTCGTACGTGACACGAAAGAAAAAAGAAAAGCTTTTTCGGTATGTTGCGCAACTCAAACATGCGTTATTCAAACCGATATTCGCTCCCGTGAGTATCGAGCGTTTAAATTGATATCCCTCCCTCTCCCACGTGAAAGAGAAACACACGGTTTACAAATATCGTAAAAATGCGAAAGCTTGAAATTTCTTTTATAATTGTCGTGTTTTCGGATATATATATATATATATATTATAATATATAAAGGCGTGTTTCATTGTTGCTTTCAGAGCGATCCCAGTACCACGTTTTTACGAGCGGCTCGAGCCGGTCAGCTCGACAAGGTTTTGGAATATCTTGAATCCGGAGTGGACATCAACGCTTCTAACGCTGTAAGTAATTGATTTCGTCGTTTTTCTTTTTCTCTTAAACAATCAAAAAAGTTTGTCTTTTTTATTTAAAACGCAAACTTAATGACACTTGCGTTCAACAATGTGTTTCGCAGAATGGCTTGAATGCTTTACATCTGGCGGCTAAGGACGGCCACTTAGAAATCGTAAGAGAGCTCCTAAACCGCGGCGCGATCGTAGACGCCGCTACCAAAAAAGGGAACACGGCGTTGCACATAGCTTCTCTTGGTAAGTGGACAATCTCTCTTTCTCTTTCTCTCTCGTTTTTATTACTTCGTGCGAGCATCACGGTTGTCATCGTCGCTCGCTTAAATGCATGCGGGACAAGGCCGCGCGAGCGAGGTTTTTAAAATCGCGAACATTTACTTTGCAAACTCTCTTCGGATATCTCTCGCGGCGCTGATACGAATGTATAATATAAATTTTCCCCGGTGACACATCAATATGTATCTTCTTCCAGCTGGACAAGAGGAGGTTGTACAATTGCTGGTACAAAAAGGTGCCTCTGTGAACGCGCAATCGCAAAATGGATTCACGCCGCTGTACATGGCCGCTCAGGAGAATCACGACTCCGTGGTCAAGTACCTCCTCAGCAAGGGCGCGAATCAGACTTTGGCCACCGAGGTTTGTTCATGAAATGTTTTTTTCTATCGTAATTTTTCAATAAAATCATCATAACGTTTTTATTGTAGGATCAATTTAATTCTATAAATTTGTATTTATTATATGATACACTATATGTTGTGTATATATATATATTTTTTATATGTATTTTCTCAAATATTTATACTAATGTCTTATACATGTACGTTATATTTTGTAGTGATTTCATTTTGTTGTTGTCAGATTCAACTGTTCTACAGCGATCTCTATTTATAGCTTGACATTTAAAATATGTGTCTCTCGTAGGACGGTTTCACTCCGTTGGCGGTGGCCATGCAACAGGGTCACGACAAAGTGGTAGCCGTTCTATTAGAAAACGACACTCGCGGTAAAGTTCGACTACCCGCCCTACACATCGCCGCTAAGAAAGACGACTGCAAAGCGGCTGCCCTACTTTTACAAGTGAGTTTATTGTGAGCGCGCTGTGTGTCGCGCGCGCGCGACTTGTATTTTAAAGAGACAAATGATATAATGATGATAATAATAATAATAAGTAGAAATTAGTTCACGGCGTATAGTTTCTACGACTTGGTTCTTTTGTTTCCGCAGAACGACCATAATCCAGATATAACATCGAAAAGCGGTTTCACCCCGCTGCATATAGCCGCGCATTATGGCAACGACCGAATCGCTTCCCTGCTCTACGATAGAGGGGCGGATGTCAATTTCGCGGCAAAGGTGTGGCAAAACTCTTATAAAACAAACGAAATCAAATCGCGCGCATGTGTGCGTATATTTTTTTCTCTATAATTTTCTTTCTTACAGCACAATATCACACCAATACACGTGGCCGCCAAATGGGGTAAGATCAAAATGGTCAATCTTCTCATGAGCAAGGGGGCGAACATCGAAGCGAAAACGAGAGACGGTCTAACTCCTCTGCACTGCGCAGCCAGATCCGGCCATCACGAGGTGGTCGACATTCTCATCGAGAAGGGAGCACCCATCGGTTCGAAAACGAAAGTAAACACAAATTTCTATTGTTCTCGAGCGAACAAAACCGCGCGTAGCATCACGAGATTAAGTTAACACGTGAGCTTCTGTTGACAGAATGGTCTTGCGCCGTTGCACATGGCTTCCCAAGGGGATCACGTTGACGCCGCGAGGATTTTGTTGTACCACCGCGCGCCCGTAGACGAGGTAACGGTGGATTACTTGACCGCGCTGCATGTAGCCGCGCACTGCGGCCACGTACGCGTGGCCAAGTTACTTTTGGACAGAAACGCCGATCCCAACGCGCGAGCTCTGAACGGATTCACTCCCCTTCATATCGCGTGTAAGAAAAATAGAATAAAAGTGGTCGAACTTCTTCTGAAGCACAAAGCGAGCATCGAAGCTACGACTGAGGTAGTTAATTTCTCTTGATTGTCTTAAGATTATTTTGAAATATTCTAGAGTTAATAAAACAGATCGTGTAACATCTTTAGACAATCTCAAATACAGGATCATTGCGAATACTGGTCCGAGAGACTAATTAAAAATATCATTTCAGTCCGGATTAACCCCATTGCATGTCGCGAGTTTTATGGGATGCATGAACATCGTGATTTACTTGCTGCAACACGAAGCCAGTCCCGACATACCGACCGTGAGGGGCGAAACGCCGCTACACTTGGCTGCCAGGGCGAATCAAACCGACATCATTAGGATACTTCTCAGGAACGGCGCTCAGGTTGACGCAAGAGCAAGAGTGAGTATCAATATTTTTCAAGAAATAAATAAATTTACATACGCGCAAATTGACGTAAAACTTTTCGTTATTTGCGTTACAAGGAGGAACAAACACCGCTTCACGTCGCTTCCCGCTTGGGTAATGTCGATATCGTGATGTTGCTGCTGCAACATGGTGCGAGTGTTGATGCCACAACAAAGGATTTATATACTCCGCTTCATATCGCTGCTAAAGAAGGCCAGGAAGAGGTGAGGACCTTAAAAGTTTTATCTTTTTCGCGCGAAGTATCATAATTCTATCGATTGTTTCTGTCGCACAGGTCGCATCCGTTCTACTAGAAAATAGCGCATCGCTCACTGCAACGACCAAGAAAGGATTCACTCCTTTGCATTTAGCGGCCAAGTACGGCAACATGAACGTCGCTCGATTATTGCTGCAAAAGAACGCACCGGTTGACGCTCAAGGAAAGGTAAAATATATCGTGTTTAACAAGATTAATTTTATTTTAATTCAGAAATGTCTTTTTTTTCTACGTGCAATGTGGTTTTAATTTCAGAACGGAGTAACCCCTCTTCACGTAGCGTCTCATTATGATCATCAGAACGTAGCTTTACTTTTACTAGATAAGGGAGCCTCACCTCATGCTATGGCTAAGAACGGTCATACGCCTTTACATATTGCTGCACGTAAAAATCAGGTATTATTCATATAATTTTAATTATTAACAGGGGAATTTCGCAAAATATATAAAAATGTAATAGAAATGTAAAATAAATTTTCTTGGTTTCTCGGTAGATGGACATTGCAACTACTTTGCTAGAATACGGAGCAAAAGCTAACGCCGAATCGAGAGCTGGATTCACGCCATTACATATTAGTGCACAAGAAGGTCATACTGACATGTCGACTCTTCTTATCGAACATAAAGCGGATACGAATCACAAAGCGAAGGTAGGTAAATAGATAATGGATAATTTTACGCAATATATATATATATATGTTTTATATACAAAATTCGGTTGTATGTTTTACAGAATGGCCTTACGCCTCTACATTTATGCGCACAAGAAGATAAAGTGAGCGTCGCCTCCATTCTCGTAAAGAATGGCGCTCAGATCGACGCTAAAACTAAGGTAACATAATTGACAAGTTTTTTGTTTAATACTATAAATTAAATAGTGAAATAAAACCTTGAAAATAATATAGAAAAATATGATTTGAATTAAATTGTCAACTTTTGAAATTCGAATTAAATTCAAAATTAAAGCAAGATTTATATAGAGAATTGTGATCAACAATATAATCTAAAGATAAATGTTATTCGTATGTGTCTCAGGCCGGATATACGCCGTTGCACGTGGCGTCTCATTTCGGCCAGGCAGCTATGGTCCGGTTTCTCTTGAGATCCGGTGCCGCCGTTGACAGCAGCACCAACGCCGGTTACACTCCTCTCCATCAAGCCGCCCAGCAAGGACACACGCTCGTCATCAATTTGCTGTTGGAGAGTAAAGCCAAACCGAACGCTGTGACTAATGTAAGTCTTTTATTCTATCGATTCGCGCATTAAAATTCTACAACAGTTTGCTCGTGACGTAACGCAATCACATGCGAAATGTAATTTCTCACAGAACGGACAGACTGCCCTGGACATCGCACAAAAGCTTGGCTACATAAGCGTGATTGAAACACTGAAGGTTGTCACGGAAACCGTCATCACGACGACTCACACGGTCACCATCGAGGAGAAATACAGAGTCCAAGCGCCCGAATCCATGCAGGAGACATTCATGAGCGACAGCGAGGACGAAGGAGGTGAGTACACATTTTACGTTTCAGGGAAATATCTCTATTATTCTTTTATATGTATATATTATATATATTGCTGCTTTTACTATTTTCTATCAAAGCTGCGTATTGGGACAAAGCAAATTGTTATAAAAATAATTTTTTCAAATATCAATTGAGAATTATTCTTTTTTACAAAAAATTTCTAAACATGTATTTATGGACAGCTTTATCGCTTAGAGTAATTGTTTGCTTCGCACATGTTAGATTTTTAGCGCTGGAGGAAAGGTAGGGATGACATGACGTTAGAAAGAAATTGGAAGTTGAGAGACGGCGCAATGCTTTTGCTTTAGCTGATATTGGACGCGTATGCGTCTAACGTTATTGAAATTTCTTTTAGCTCGTAAAACCGACGATTTTATCCCTTTTTAATGCAACTTGCGCGTAGGGCAAGTATGATGCAACGCGTATTACCGTGACAGGCCGAGTATTCACAGTTTGACCTAATATTTGAGATCGCCTTAAGGTTCATTTTAAAATAAACCGTTTTATAAGCTACGGAGTTTCTCAAGATGAACTTCAGACAAAATATAAGATCCGACCGTGAATACCTTAAAGACGAAATGTAGAATAGGTCGCCAAACAAAAGACGAAGCTTTTAGTAGACGCGATATGATTGCACGCCAGAAATTAAAATCGATAATAGATTTGTTGCATGGAAGATAATATCGAGAGAGAATCCAATTAAAATCAGCACAGATACACAGCGATAGAGATTAGAAATTTATATCGATTTTTCGACAAATTACAGAATTAGAGAATAGTTGTTTCGAGAACACAACACAACATATACAATTTTTCGCATGCTCGCATTGCACGACACAAATCCCAGCATGTGTGGAGTCGAAGATTATACAAACGAATTTCCTTATAGAAAACGCATCCTTTCCTGATTCATATGTAATCACAAATATACATACACGAGGACAGGGTAGAGATAAACGTGTGTAAAAAAACCGCAAGTTATTATTAAAAAACAAAAAAAAAAGAGAGAACTATTAAGGAAAAGTTTTTAGGAATTGTTTCAAATTTGTCAAAAGATCAAAGTGAAACGGAAATTTATAAAATGAAAAAGTGCCAAATGGAACTATTGTTTGCTTGATTGTTGCATTTGTGTTATCTTAATTTCGCAAAAAGCATGCATCTAGCCGATATAATTCACTGGGTTGTTGTACGTCGAGTATTTCTTTTCAAAATTGCGCGACGAGCAACAGAAGTAATAAAATCAACATTAAATTCTCGATAACGAAATGCAAATGTATAACGAATTCTCGCGATATTAATTTTCAAAATATGAAGTTGCAACGTAAATATATTTTCATTTATCTCACAATTTAGTATAATATATTCAAACGATATGTTTAAAACTAATACATTCAAATGATGTGTTCAAACGGCGCATATTCAAGTAATGTATTCAAATAACTAGTATATTTGTACACATATATTCGCAAATAACGAGTAGATTTAGACTTTTCTTTTTTAAAGATCCAGTTATTAAAAGAGCATGCAATAGCGCAGCAGTTTACTCGGGAACAGTAGGGACCTTTAAATGAACTAGTTTCCTATCTCTCAGAAATTTTTTATCTGTAGTTGAGCGCGCGCGTAGAAAGACGCGCTTGTATACGTCCAGCTAACGACAGAGGTGTAGTTCATGCCGTACAATCTTAGCGATTGCATTCACGAGTTGCCTGTACAAGATGCTAGAACCGCATATATATATATATATATACATATATACATATCGCGTGCGCATCTCGCTCCGAAATTCCTGTCACGTTAACTGTCTCTCGCTAATTAGTTTTTTCCAATATATATATATATATACATAAATATTTACCCATTAACAACCCAGTGATAGAGCGAAATTTAGAGAAAGAAAAAGAGAGAGAAAAAAAAAACAAAAAAGTGTATATGGTGCGAAATTAGCGTCTCTAATGAAACCATGACCTTACCTCGACGGCGTACGATGTATGTAGGTGGTGATGAAATCGGCACGGCAGCCATGAATGTGTACGGGCAGCCTCCGCACGCGCAACACGTGTACCTTCCTTCTTACTACCAGGGCCAAATGACCTATACCCGTAAGTTGTCTGTACTCTGTTTCTGTCATTTCTTTTTCTCTTCACGCGCGTTCCGTCGCGGAACGCCATCGCGTCGCAAATTTACATTATACATGTGTAATATCTATATATAGGATAAGACCACTAGTTATGGATCATTCTGAGAATAAAAATTCGTCACTTTCGTCCGTCAAAAGTGTGCGATAACATTTTTAAAAAGTACATTCAATCGTGCGGAAGATAATTTTAATGATTTCGAGTAGGTAATTTATAGATTTTTTAAAAAATAATACGGTTTTTTTAATCGAAACAGAGAAATCAATGAATACAAGAAAAAACTTTTTATATAATAATATAATTTTAATCATAAACTATACGTGACAAACTAAAAAACAAAATATAAATTAACAAGCAACGTAATAATCGAAAACAATTAACAACTTTTTAAAACCCAATATTATAAAAATCAACATTATACAAAATTATAAAATATTACGGAATCAGCTATTTTTTATCTTTCGCAATTAAAAAAAAATTAGTCGTTTCGGCGCATCGTTTGACAAGATTTTGATAATCGCTTGCTGCACGGTATAAAACATACTTAACGTATCAATAATGTTTTCTCTGATAATTTGAAGATGTGCAATTTTATATTCCCGACAAAGAAAACAACTGACGATTAAAAACACTTAAGAGAAACCATTAACGAATTTGAAAATATGTCTCATTTGGCATAAAATATAATCGCTATCTAGATACGCGAAATAATCCGCAACTATAAATGTTCGATCCACATCTAGTGGCCTTACCCTTATATACGCGCGCAATTGTATACACCAGCACTGTATCAGCAAACGACGCAAAACGTCGTGAGATAAACCACGTGTTCGTCATTTCTTCGTGTACGCATTAGCTGCTTTGTTATTTCCGACGATTAGAGCATCGAGACATTTTCAGCGGCGATACGTTACGTCAGAACAGTACTCGATCATTGCAGTCATCATCGTTTATAATTTCATTTCGAGGCATTCGCATCTCTCGCGCGCAAACCGGATCACGCTCCAAACTCATTCACGCGTGCGCTCTCGTACATATTATACATATATTTTGCGATCGAGAACTTCGAATATTATATATATTTATATACAGAGACACGCACAGACACAAAAACCTTTCCTTTTAGCCCCGCTGTGTGTTTTCATACCCATTTGATTTGATTTCGTTCGCACACACACGTGTCCCTGCTACCTCCTCCATATATACATATTTTCACTGATAGCGGTGTGACACACAACCTCATCGTTGAATCATAGTAATTAATTCTCCTTACAAATACTAATCCAATTCAGTATTGCGATATATTTTACATAAAAAAGTACGAGGAAGAGAATTTTTTTCATTGACTCGCAATTGTAAAATTAAATCGCAAATGCCATTTCTTATTGTTTTGAGCAAATAGATAAAAGTATTTTTTGTTTTTTTGTTTTTTAATTCTGTTTTTTCCAGCACGAAGGTACGAAAGACTAAGTTTACACACAATTTGTAAACTGTCAGTTTGTTTGATAACGATATCTCTGTGTGGTAGTCAAGGATGTGAGAAAGCACTTCGCGCACTTTGTTTTTTTTTTTTTGCATAACATTTGACTGAAAATAGAAACACGTTGTTATCGTCAAATTGAAATCAAACGGAACAGCGTCCGATTTGGTATTGATTCTGTTGTGCAATTTCTGCTGAAGTTTTCACGTAGTCGTTCCGAGCTTAGTCGGTGATCTTATCTGTGTGCTCATTAATACGATCGTTATCGATGTCCTTTGACGCAAGAACTAAACGATATTTTTTTTTTCGAGTTATTTGTTCTGAAAAAAAAAATAGGATTGTAAAGAGTCGACTCACAAGATCGCGTATTTTTTGTTGTGTTATCGATTATTGTACGGCGAATGCTGTTCAGTTTTTTAAGGAGAGAAGTTTTATAAAGAGGTACGATATATATATATATATATATATAATGATGTTGCAGATATTGCTTCTAAAACCTGAAACTGCTTTTCTACACGTACTTCGAGAAATACACAAATGTGTTGACACGTAAATAAAAGTCTTAACGAAGAGACTTCGCTAAAAAGACGCTGAACTATATGCAGTTTTAAATGATAAAATGTGTAAAACGAGACGATGACGTTTGCAAGCGAACGGGGAGTTTACTTCGAGGTGTGTACAAACGTCGTGTACCGAAGTTGCGCTACAAACCAGACGTCAAAAGCGATAGAAAGGATTTATTTGCCTTGAAAAACGAGCGCTTTCGGGTTTATTTGCACTTGTCTTCGGATCTGACGAGCATTTCCGGAAATGTCTGCGGTTCTTCCACCGCGAGTGCGACAACAAGTCGTCTCTCTCTCTCTCCGATGCGAGATGAACTCTTCGTGACACGAGAGAAGCGTACGAATTTAATGCCGCGGTGTGGGCTGTTAGCTCGTCGGCGCGCATCCTCTCGTTGATGCAATTTTATGGAACGTTATTTTATGCGCCGCGGCGAAATAGGGCATGTGTGTGCCGCTCTACTACTGTTAACGCAATTTACATAATAACGAGTTGCGCGATTATTCGATGGGCTTTGACGACGACGTTGTGGCACTGTACACGTCGTTGTTGTTGTGTATATATGTGCACAACATATACGTACACAAGCAACGCCCTCTTCAGCCTACCTGTTATGCAACAGCCGGTAGCTTGTTGTGCGTGTTGTGTGCCGCGTTATTAGTCCAACCCCTGCCGCCTTGGCGTGCCGCCAAATACACACGATCGCGAACCGAAATAATCTCGAATTTATATAACGTCGCACGCGCGCGCGCGCGCGCGGCGGAGGGCTGTCAATTAAACAAACCGAGAGAGGATAAACAAGCGCGCGCGCAATTATAACACGCACTTCCGTGTAAACAAACGCGCGGTTCAAGTGCGCGTTTTCGAAAACGTCGTCGCGATAATTAACGGAGCAGAAGATATTCGCACAATAACAAAACATATCGACGAATTTCTGATAAAGTGCAAACAAAGAGAGAAATTAATTAATCCCGTTGTCACTCGCGTGACAAGCGCGAATCGACGAATTTTTTTGATAAAGTGATTAAAAAAGAGATTAATTAATCCCGTTGTTGTTCGCGCGCGATGAGCACATCGGCGAAATTTTTGACAAAGTGAAACAAAAAACGCATATATCATCAATTAGCGCGTTTTTGTTCCGTAGGTTTTATCGAGATTGTTGTGCAAAAAGTGTTGTTGTTTCGTGTATGAAATTTGTTTTATCACACAAATTACATATCGTGTTGACGATATTCAACGTTCCGGAAATAAAAAGTCGCGACGGACAGATAATTCGCTCTTATCGGCGCGCGTATTTGCGACGGCGGCGCCTTTACATTTTTTTTATTTTTTTATTTTTCTTCTCTCGGTATAAACTTTGACCTAAACGTCGAGCAGCGATACGTTACAAATTGACGTTATCTACTTGCGATTCGATCACGCGAAACGCCAGTAAAAAGCAACCCTCGCGTGCTCTCTACCGCTCCTTCGCGTCTTGGTCGCGGCGCGTAGGGAAAAGCGCGGATTGTATCGTACGTATACACACACCTATACACATCTATGCGTGGAGCGGTGGAAAAGCTCAAAAGCAACACACACACACAGTCGCTGCTATTATAAAATTGGTGATTCACGGAATGAGGTCACACGTTACTCTAGCGAGGCGATTCCACACACGCGGGGGGGTTCGAACTTGTATCAATCTTTAACCGAGCAGTCGCTGTTCCTGACCCCGTGTCGACGGTGCGAGCGACGTGCGCGCGCGAAAATAAAGGGAAGTACTCGGACGCGCGCGTGCATTAATGCAATTTAGATGAATTGAATCTAATCGAGCGAGAGTACTTGGGTTCTCTTCTCAGCTTCTATTCTCTCGGCGGTGCCGATCGCGCGCCCAGTCCGATATTTGAAGTGGAGGCCACGGCCTGTGTCCGATAAGCGGTTCGGTTCGCGCGATAAAATCAAGTTCGAAAAAGACGCGGGTTTTCTTGTGAAAGAAAAAATAAACTACATATATACAAGAGCGCCGATAACGCGTCCAATTGCTAAATCGCCCCGTAATCGCCGCGATAGTTGAAAGATCAAGCTATCACTCGTCGTTATGTTACTATTCGACATGTGCCACCTGCGTATCGAGTGCACGCGTTGCATATAAAGGTTTCCGGGCCGGTTTTTATCGCCGATACACCGCAGCGCGCGTCAGTGCGTTAAACGACGAGGATACGGGAACGTCGTTCCGCCCTACGGAAAGAAGGAAGACGAATTTTCTCCGCGCGCTCTATCAGCGCTTCATCTTCATCAAAAAAGAAGAAACGGCGAAAAAGGACGAACATGGCGAAGGGAAAAACGAAGAAGAAGGGATTCAAGTGCGGTTGCTCATGCGGGTGTGGCAACAGGAACAGCGACGTATTATGTAAATATCGTGCATCTGTTACACACAGGCCGGCTTATGCCGCCGCAAAAACCGTTCGTTTGCACGTACGTGCGACCCTTTCTCAATCTAATCACTCGCGCGAGCGAGCTACCGGCGAGCGGAAATCGCCCAGATGTTACGAATTTTTCGTCGACTTAAAACGCTGATAAACTACGCGACTTTTTTTGTTATTTTATTTTTTTTGTAACGCTAAGTGTATTAACATATGTTAAATATTGATTTCCCACGGGCTCTTTGTGTTCACGGCTGCTGCCGCTCATAAACGTTGTCGAGCTAATTAAATTTGAAATACCTTACGTCATCAGCTCGAAATGTTCCGTGGAATTGAGCTAGTTTGATGTTTCAATGTGTACTTTCAGAGAGAACATCTTTATTTCTAAACAGTGTGGAACGCAGAAATTTAAATAACGAAAAAATTTCTTGCGATTGAGCCAACGAAGTTATTGGTGTGGCACCAATTTGTTTTTTCTCTCGTAAAATATTGTCTCTAGATTTGAGTTCTCCTTGGTAAAC